AAACTAAAGTATTTGTGTGTATGTGATGTACAGGTGGTTCCTTCAATATAACATGATAACCTGACTAATAATACAATTACTTTGTTCAAAGATCCAAAATGATCGGTTAGACCTATGTGAATAAACTTGAAACTGAAGAGAAGGTCTGTGTATTATTTTTTAACTAACCTATTCATGTTTTATAACAAAAAGAACATAAGTCTGACCCTTCTTCGCCATAATTGTTTTCAGAGATTTCTTCCATTATTAATCAGTTTAATCTTTTTTTTTGTGAATCATTTTTGGAGATGTCTTGTTCAACCTTTCAACCCTATTATAGGGTGTGGGGGAGTTATTATGATCATGAATAAATGAGATTATCTAAGGTTTCTAGCTGAAAATTGATTATTCTTAATTTTTTTTCTCTCTTAAAATATTAACCTGCGGATTTTTGATGTTCAGACAACCTCCCCCCCCCCCTTCGTCTCCCCACTGATAATTTTGAACACCAACGCTGGTTGTTATATTGTTCTAATTTGCGAAACAATCACGTTAAAACTTCGTGACTCTTAAAGGGACTGATTAAAGTGGCCTTTTGTAAAAGAAGGTTTATTCCATTTACAGCCGTACCCTTTAATATTTCCTGGATCAACATTATTGGAAATATCATTGTTCTTTAGAGAAAAAGACAATTGAAAGCAATGATATCTTTTTCATTCTTGATGAACATAAATAAGAATCTGTCTTTTTGAAGTTAAAACAAAATATTGAAGTTAGATTGCAATTTTACCATTTTAGTTAAGATTGTTGAAAAATTAGCTAACTTTCCCTTTATTTCTTTTTTTCTTGAATTCATATTTCTGTATATTGTCTAGGTCGTAAAGCAATAAAATGTGAAGACTAAAATAATTAAAATATTACTTCTGTTTATTTAGATTTATATTTTCCCCTTCATTAACTCACTAACTATATATATGGAGAGTATACATAGAATTCATAAATATATATTTGCTAGCTAAAGTGCCTGGAATTTAAAAAAATCGAATTTAAAGGGAGTGCTCGTGAAAAATAAAAGGGGGTATAGGCTTAATGCGATAAAAAAGCGCTTTTGATCGCTACTAATCTTACTTCTATCTGTTGCGTCTATAAGGAGAAAATTGTTAAAGACGTCTCATACAGCCCATACAAATTGAGAAAATTGCAACATACTAAGACCGTAAAAAATCAATTTAATTTCAAACAAATCATTCAGATATTACAACCTATAGTCATCGATCATCTTTCGCCCCATTTGTATATCTATAAAAAAATTTAGCTTGTCTGTTTGTTTGTTTGGGTGTCTGTTTGTGTGTATCCAATAAACGTCAAAACGGCTGAACCGATCGGGCCCAAATTTTTTGTGGGACCTCACGTGACCCCAGGGAAGGTTTATGAATGATAAAAATTTTAAAAAATGTGTTTTAAAGGTTTTTAATTTTGTAAAAAAATTTAAATCCGCATTTAAATGTAAACAAAAAGAAAATGTTCACAATTTAAATAGAAGATGGACACAAAGCGCCCTAAAAACCTAGAAAGAAGGGTGCGAAGCGCCTTGAATTTCTAGTAGGCTGTATTTTATAATATTTTTTAATTAATTTGTTATGAATTTGATTATTTCGCTTGTCCCTTGCGCAACTATCTAAGAATGCCGCGCACCACTCACATTTTTCGAAATCCGTTAAAAACGTTTTCTAAAAAAAGTAAATGTAAAAAAAATAATTAAAAAATATAAACTATAGACAAATGTGGTGAAAGATAATCGATGACAGGGGGAATAAAAATAAAATCATTCTGCTTGACGGGCCTAACCCACAATTCGTAAACTTTTTAAATTCAAACCACAAAAACTAAAATTACAAAATAGATCCCTTCAGAAATAAAAAATAGACAAATCATTAAACAGATATGCCTGTTTAATCCGTGTTTATTCCTTGTTGTGTTTATTCCTTGTTGTGTTTATTCCTTGTTGTGTTTATTCCTTGCTGTGTTTATTCCTTGTTGTATTTATTCCTTGCTGTGTTTATTCCTTGTTGTGTTTATTCCTTGTTGTGTTTTTCGACTTGCTTTTATAGTTCACTATATGCACTATATGCATTCATGACCTTAAAAACCTTTAGACAAGCCTTCAGTTCCCCGCCGGGATAATGGACGCAGGCGGTGTCACCATGGATCTGGTATAAATAGAGATGGTTTGGTTTGAATCTTCAGTCCTGCTTACTCCTCAAGCTTGCAAATATCATTAAATATGAAGTCCGTTGTAAGTATTTATTAATGAATTCATTAACTCATTGAATAAATAATTCATTAAGAAATTAATTTACTGATTGCATTTATTTCACATTCTTTAATTCATTTATATCATTAATGCATTAATTCATTAATTTAATAATGTATGAATACAATAATGCATAAATTCATAATTCATTATTTCATTAATTTATTAATTCCCTGCTTCATTATTAATTTATCCGATAATCCAATTTATTAATTAATTGTAAATTAATTAAGGCTGTTGTTGCTCTGTGTCTATTTGCTGCAGTTGCTGGTGAACCTGATGCCAGTGCTGAACCTGGATATGGTCATCATGCTCTTGCATACCATGGATATGGATATGGTCATCATGCCTATGCTGGATATCCTTATGCCCATGGATATCATAAGAGGTCCGCTGATGCTGATGCTGAGCCCGGATATGGATATGCTTATGGATATCCCAGCCATTATGGATATGCCCATCATGGTTATGCTGCCTACCCTTATGGACACCATCTGATCGGCAAGAGGTCTGCTGATGCTGAACCCACTGCTGATGCTGATGCTGAAGCCCACCATGGGTATGGCTATGCTCCTCTTGCTTACGGATATGCTCACCATGCCTATGCTGCTTACCCTCATGCTTATGGATATCATGCTATTGGCAAGAGGTCTGCTGATGCTGAACCTGGATATGCTTATGGATACCCTTATGCCCATGCTCATGGATATGGATATGGATACCCTTCCAGATACGGATACCTTCATTAATTTATTAAATATTTGTTTTTAGAGTTGAGGAAACTTATCAGAAATGTGAATTTGGTAATTCCTAGTCACAATAAGACTGCCATAATTGTAAATACAAAATAAATTTAAAAAAAAACTAAAGTTACTTTAAAATTGTGGACAATAAACCATGACAGGAATTATAAGAAAGTTGAAAAGAAAAGTTGAAACCTTTGACTGATCATCGATGGCAGAGAACTCAAAAGTGGTGTTAAAATTACAGTATAATTGAAGTGTACACTAGCGTACAGTGTGAACTCATTACAGTAGAAGAAAAACTCCGAATATTGATTGTTCTAGTGCGGTTTACAAAATCGACCGTAAATATAACTATAACTTTTCTCCGACTTGAAACTACACCTACGGTCTACAGTCTCATTTTATAATAAATATACTTTATTTATTAATGAAGAAGGAAACATAAGTACACTGTTTAAAGAAAATACGGACTATCTAGTTTCTTTTATCTTGATAGCAGATAATATTCAATTTTCTTTCTCTCTATTCGTTTATCTATATAATAAAACAAGACACTTGTACATATATATGTTGCCTATATCCGGCCGCCAAATGGCTGGACCGAATTGGCTGATATTTTTTGTGGACACATGGTTACCCCTGGGGGGTAACCGAGGTATGTCACGGGCAACGCCGGACACTTCAACTAGTAAAAAATTGAAAACTTTTTTCTTACCGATCGAGCGAACATTTTGTGTGAGATCTTTAATGAACCCAAGGAAGGTTTAGGAATCCTCAGAATTACAAATAGTTGTATCCAAAACCTTTTGATTTTTGTGAAATTTTAAAAATGACCAAAAAAATATTTTAAAATCCGCGAACTGCATACCTATATGATCCAGCATTATAGCAAGTCATTATAGAAAAATTCTAAATACTCAACACTCAACCCAGATCAAAGGATGTAATTGCAAAGGTGGAACAACAGCATGTCCACTTGACGGTAAATGACAGAATCTCTGATATACAAAGCAATTGTCAAGACTGGTGATGAGAAAGCTGAATACATAGGATTGGCGTCAACAGATTTTAAAACAAGATACAACAACCACAACTCGTCATTCAAGAACAGTAAACAGGAAAACAGCCCAGGACTCACTAATCATGTTTGGGATTTAAAGAGAGAGAACAAACCCTTTGAAATATCATGGTCCATCGCATCTTTGGCAACCCCTTACAAAAAAGAAACCAACAAGTGTCAACTCTGCTTAACTGAGAAAACGCTTATCATCCTGGCAGATAGAACATTATCATTGAATAAAAGACACGAAATTATGTCAAAATGTTGACATAAAAACAAGATGCTTCTAGTAAATGTAGTTTGATAAAGCATGATTTTTTAACATCATGTTTGTTTTATTGTATGTATCTATATGTAACATTAATTTGAAAATTAATTTAACATCTCGTGAAAATCCGCGAAACATCTGTAAGAAATTCTCAAATAATTCATCCTGATGATTGCATAAAAGCATGAAACAATTTGTTTATGAATAAAATGTTATATGAAGATTGTTGCGTTTAAACTGATATAATGTAGATATACATATACTACTCCAAATACAATATATATATAATGTAGGTATACATATACTACTTCATATACATATACATATATACATATAATGTAGGTATACATATACTACTCCATATACAATATACATATATACATATAATGTAGGTATACATTTACTACTCCATATACAATATACATATATATATATATATAGAATCTCAGATTTGCTGCTATCATAATTTTGTATTCCGTATTACGTCTCTCTAACTTCATCAGCCAATGGCAATGCAGTATTCTTGTCACGTGATTTCCGTCTGTATCACGTGACCAATATTCTGCACTGCCATTGGCTGCATTTCTAGTGACGTAATACTGACTATATGTAATAATAGTAAAAGTAACTTAGTTTCTTTTTAAATTTAATCTTTATTTACAATTATGGCAGTCTTATTGTGACTAGGAATTACCAAATTCACATTTCTGATAAGTTTCCTCAACTCTAAAAACAAATATCTAATAAATTAATGAAGGTATCCGTATCTGGAAGGGTATCCATATCCATATCCATGAGCATGGGCATAGGGATATCCATAAGCATATCCATATCCAGGTTCAGCATCAGCAGACCTCTTGCCAAGAGCATGATATCCATAAGCATGAGGGTAAGCAGCATAGGCATGGTGAGCATATCCGTAGGCAAGAGGAGCATATCCATATCCATGGTGGGCTTCAGCATCAGCAGTGGGTTCAGCATCAGCAGACCTCTTGCCGATCAGATGGTGTCCATAAGGGTAGGCAGCATAACCATGATGGGCATATCCATAATGGCTGGGATATCCATAAGCATATCCATATCCGGGCTCAGCATCAGCATCAGCGGACCTCTTATGATATCCATGGGCATAAGGATATCCAGCATAGGCATGATGACCATATCCATATCCATGGTATGCAAGAGCATGATGACCATATCCAGGTTCAGCACTGGCATCAGGTTCACCAGCAACTGCAGCAAATAGACACAGAGCAACAACAGCCTTAATTAATATACAATTAATTAATGAATTGGATTATCGGATAAATTAATAATGAAGCAGGGAATTAATAAATTAATGAAATAATGAATTATAAATTAATGCATATTGTATTAATATACATTATTAAATTAATGAATCAATGCATTTATGAATTAATGAATTAAAGAATGTGAAATAAATGCAATCAGTAAATTAATTTCTTAATGAATTATTTATTCAATGAGTTAATGAATTAATTAATAAATACTTACAACGGACTTCATATTTAATGATATTTGCAAGCTTGAGGAGTAAGCAGGACTGAAGATTCAAACCAAACCATCTCTATTTATACCAGATCGAGGGGGAGGAGCGACGGTAGAGTTTAATAACGTCAGGATTGCGCCTTGAGCGCCGGCTAAGGTGTGACACATGAAAAGGGCAAATGCAGGCAGACGGATACTGCTTGAATAACAAGGCAGGGGTCTTGGCTTAAGTTCAAGTTCACCAGTTTGAAGGCTTGGTTTTTTACTGTGCATCGTGTACTGTCTATGTGTTGTATTTTAATGGGTTTGGTTGAATTATTACAATGCTAGGTTACAAATACATAAATGGATAGATAGATGGATAGAAAGATAGATTGACGTCGAAAGGTCGGGTTACAAGACACCTTTTAACTATATTAATATAGTTACTTATTTGTTTTGTGCTTTCTTATTTTTTCTTTGAAACAAATGTCTACTCTGTACTCATTCTTCTTTTATCTTCTTCTACACACAATCTAAACATATTCTTCTTTTATCTTCTACACTCAATCTAAACATATTCTTCCTTCTTATATATATTCTTCTTTTATCCTCTTCTACACACAATATAAACATATTCTTCCTTCTTATATATATTCTTCTTTTACACAATCTAAACATATTCTTCTTTTATCTTCTACACACAATCTAAACATTTTCTTCCTTCTTATATATATTCTTCTTTTATCCTCTTCTACACACAATATAAACATATTCTTCCTTCTTATATATATTCTTCTTTTATCCTCTTCTACACACAATCAAAACATATTCTTCTTTTATCTTCTACACACAATCTAAACATTTTCTTCCTTCTTATATATATTCTTCTTTTATCCTCTTCTACACTCAATATAAACATATTCTTCCATCTTATATATATATATTCTTCTTTTATCTTCTTCTACACTCAATCTAAACATATTCTTCCTTGTTATATATATATATATATATTCTTCTTTTATCCTCTTCTACACTCAATCTAAACATATTCTTCCATCTTATATATATATATTCTTCTTTTATCTTCTTCTACACTCAATCTAAACATATTCTTCCTTGTTATATATATATATATATATTCTTCTTTTATCCTCTTCTACACTCAATCTAAACATATTCTTCCTTCTTATATATATATTCTTGTTTAATCTTCTTCTAAACATATTCTTCCTTGTTATATACATATCCTTCTTTTATCTTCTTCTAAGCATATTCTTCCTTGTTATATATATATTCTTCTTTTATCTTTTTCGTAGCTTTTTTTTCCTTGTTATATAAATATATTCTTCTTTTTTCTTCTTCTAAACATATTCCTGTTGCTATATATATATATATTCTTCTTTTATCTTCTTCTAAACATACTCTTCCTTGCTATATATATCCTTCTTTTATCTTCTTCTAAACATATTCTTCCTTGTTACATATATATTCATCTTTTATCTTCTTCTAAACATACTCTTCCTTGTTACATATATATTCATCTTTTATCTTCTTCTAAACATACTCTTCCTTGTTATATATATACATTCTTCTTTAGTCTTCTTATAAACATACTCTTCCTGTTATTTATTTCATTTTCATCTTTATTTTCTTTCAGAATTCATAATTTAAATCTATTCTTCTCTAAGTTCATTTTATCTTTTCCTATTTCCTTTTTATTCTTCGTGGTTCTTCCTCCTTTTTATTCTTAATGGTTTTTCCTTCTTTTTATTCTTTATGGTTCTTCCTTCTTTTTATTCTTCATGGTGCATCCTTCTTTTTATTCTTCATGGTTCTTCCTTCTTTTTATTCTTCATGGTTCTTCCTCCTTTTTATTCTTCATTGTTCTTCCTTCTTTTTATTCTTTCATTGTTCTTCCTTCTTTTTATTCTTCATGGTTTTTCCTTCTTTTTATTCTTCATGGTTCTTCCTTCTTTTTATTCTTCATGGTTCTTCCTTCTTTTTATTCTTCATGGTTCTTCCTTCTTCTTATTATTCATGGTTCTTCCTTCTTTTTATTCTTCATGGTTCTTCCTTCTTTTTATTCTTCATGGATCTTCCTTCTTTTTATTCTTCATGGCTCTTCCTTCTTTTTATTCTTCATAGTTCTTCCTTCTTTTTATTCTTCATGGTTCTTCCTCCTTTTTATTCTTCATTGTTCTTCCTTCTTTTTATTCTTCATGGTTCTTCCTTATTTTTATTCTTCATGGTTGTTCCTTCTTTTTATTCCTCATTGTTCTTCCTTCTTTTATTCTTCATGGTTCTTCCTTCTTTTTATTCTTCATGGTTGTTCCTTCTTTTTATTCTTCATTGTTCTTCCTTCTTTTTATTCTTCATGGTTCTTCCTTCTTTTTATTCTTCATGGTTGGTTGTTCCTTCTTTTTATTCTTCATTGTTCTTCCTTCTTTTATTCTTCATGGTTCTTCCTTCTTTTTATTCTTCATGGTTCTTTCTTCTTTTTATTCTTCATTTTTCTTCTTTCTTTTTATTCTTCATGGTTCTTCCATCTTTTTATTCTTTCTATATCCCGTTAATCGTGTGTAGCTTTAAATGCAATCTTCAAGTTTTATGAAAACTTAAACAACTTGCACCCATAGACAAAATAACTAAAGAACGGACCGTAATACCTACCTAACATTACCTATTGAGATTGACCAAAAAAAATTCCAACTTATGGAAGAATAACAAAAAAAAATATATTCTAGCTTTTTTAACACCGACCGTCTTTTTGAGTCATATTTTACTCTCTAATTTAAAATTCGTTCAAAAATCTTATATACATAATTACATACACCCACAAAGGATGAGAATTCAAAGACGACTGTTTTCATTCCGTCTTTTTTCTAACCAAAAGCATTCATCCCAGTAATTATTTCTTATTGAAAAGTTTACCACAAGGTTATAATGCAAGTTATTTCAGAGGTGTACGCACCTTTTGTACTGCGGTAATATAAACACATGACGGATGTCGAAGCCTGACATGGCCAAGGGATTTATCTTTCACATAAAAAATCAATGAAATATTCTGAGCATAGGAAACTATTATGTGAATTATCAAAATTATCAAAATTTAATGCTTATACTAAACGAACACTGATGCATCTATTCTTGTTTACAAATTCCGCCCAGAGAGAACTGGTTTCAATATGTACGCAGAGTATACGTAACAGCAATCAACTTTCCTTGCATTATAACCTTGGTTTACCATATTACATCGCAGACCGTCAGCATACTGTCAAATGACCATAGTACCTTAGAACTAAACTTTCCTTTCTTTTCTAAGAATTTTACCTACCGTACTTCATGTAGTTATAAATTGTAAACTGCAAATTTTATAATCGAGAAATCAATTATCACAAGTTAGTTTAATAAGAAATAATAATTACGATTGATTAAGGATGCTTTTGGACGGCGGAAATCACTTGTTTCTATCATCGCCAGACTATCAAATATACCCTTTAAAACTTATAAACTACAATTGTCCAATATTTACCTTTAGATCGTCATATTCAAATAATTTAAGGTCGTCATTAAAGGCTCATTCGTTGTGGATAACCCTGTACATTATTATCTAAACTATATAAAATGTAGTCCAACAACATAAATATAAAATGGCAATTAAGAAATATATTTGTTTAATTATTTGAATGGGTGAAAATTGGTTCCAAACCCTTTGTTTACCGCGGCCTACGATTTACTAATTAGAATAAAATTGTTTTTCAAAAATCCCTTTAAACTACTATTTTTAAAAAGTCAAAAAAATTGAAGGGATAGTGTCAAAACTGAAAGTGCTATAGTAAAATTAATGCCCCTCCCTTAGTATGCTTTGGATTAATAAAAGTATTATCTTATTTATTATTATTGAAAAAAATAAGGCAAAAAAAAGATGTCAGGAAAATTTTATTTCAAATGTTGTTATATAATATTATTTATAATGTATAGTATAACATAAAAAATTATATAAAATGGAATTTAATATAAAAGAAAACATGAAAGTTTCAATTCTCCAGAAAACTGTGACTTTCGATCACAATTTGACCCTGTAAACATAATTTTTTAGCCTTTTTTCTTATATACTTTTTTCTAATATACTTTTTTATTATATACTTTTTTCTTATATACTTTTTTGTCGGCATATACATTTGAAGGAAAAAGTATAGGCTAAATAAATCCGAGAATAAAAATATTGTTGAATTATAAAATTATAAAACACGCTTGATGTCAAATAGATGAAACCGAATGCTGTTCACTCTGGTTAGCTTTCATATAAGACATTAAGTATTCTTTGTATACTTTTCTAAAATCCTAAAAACTTTAACTTTTATGTTTAAATAATTTTATTAAATAAAATAAAATTCTACAAAATAACAATTTAATTGTGAAATATTATATTCAAATATTTGGAAAATATATATAAGACGGAGAAATAGAATGATCTAATTTGTTAAATTTTTCAAATTCGGAAATTAAACAAGTTTCTATCATCACTAGTGCACTTTGTAAAAAGATGATAAGTTTCGTGTAAATTTGTATCTATATATAAATTTGGCTTGTCTGTTTGTCTGTTTGTATCCAATAAACGTCAAAACGGCTGAACCGATCGGGCCCAAATTTTTGTGGGACATCACGTGACCACAGGGAAGGTTTATGAATGATAGAAATTAAAGGTTTTTAATTTTGTAAAAAAATTTAAATTCTTGAAAATCCGTTAATTTTTTTTTTAAATCCGCAACATTTTTTCTTCTTTGTTTTAAAATGTAAATAAAAATAAAATGTTCACAATTTAAATAGAAGAAGGGCGCGAAGCGCCTGGAATTTCTAGTATCGAATAATTAGCCTATTCTGAAGAAAACTCAGATTCTTTCACGACTGTACAAACTCCAAATTTTTTTATCAAAATTTAAATTTTACCGCTATCATTCTCAGCATTTAGCATATGAACCTCAGAATATATATTCTGAGACTTCAATGAAGGTTTAAGCATAAAAAACGAAATTCACCGTTAAAAAAAATCCGTTCCGTTTTGTTTTGAATTTCTTTTTTCAAAACAGCTTATTTGTTTCGTTAACTGTATAACAATTAACAGTTTTTTCCCT